AAGAAAAGATGCCACACATCCTCAGCCATAGCCCCACAGCAAGGACAAACACAATCCACATCAACCCCCCTCTTTTTCAAGTTAACCCGGATAGGAAGAGTGTTGGTGATACATTTTCAGAGGAAATGTCTTAACTTCAACTTCACATGCAACCCTCAACATCTCATACTAGCATTTTTATCACTCTTTACAGTAGCACTACTTTGAGAACAGTCCAAAGCTAAAACCTTCTTCAAAATAGACTGAGAGTAAGCAGAAACAATAGAAAACTTACCTTTGGAATCTCCAGTCCACGCAATGCCTTCTTTTCGTTCATGGACAAGTTGCTTCGAATGACCTGGTTGGTCTACTCAGGAAGCTTGGGGGTCAGCTCCTTTTATCCCAGAGGCTTGAGTTGCAGTACCTTGAAGAAGGACGGCTGCACAGTCGTGGCCTTGACCTCCTTGGAGCAGAAGGAGGGCTCGACATCCAACGAGTTGAAGAAAGATCTACATAAATAGCTAACAAAGTGAGTAATAGATCAAGATCGTATGAGGTTGAACACAAATTAATAAAAATGAAATATATATAAAAGAAGACTACTTGGGTCGGTGATGGGAGGGGTCTTGCAGGATGCTAATCCGCAGTGAAATTGGTTATTAGTGAGTTTGATGGTATTGAAGGGGAAAAATTTCCAATCACAGATTAGCTTGTCATAGTTTTTGAAAGGTTTGGACTTGTTAAGATGGCCGAGGAGATTGTCGAGCCATTCGGGAGAAAATTCAAAAGTGTTTGGTGGAGGTCGGATGAAGAAATACTTGGTTTTCCATGCCGAGACCTTGTAAGGGATCTAACTTAGAAAATTGGTTTATTACGGGAAGAGTTGTAGTAGGAGCCTTTCTGCAGTTTGATCAAAGACGACACCAACTAGGGATTGTGAACCCGACCATGATACAGATCGAGTTGTGGGTAAAATACTTCAATGGGATCTTATAAGGTTTGCTAAGTTCTATAAGGTCATCTCGGAGAGGGAATTTGAGGTCGGCTTGGATTTGGTCTATGAAGAAGGCTAGTCGAAAGGTTCGTCGACTTTGGGAGCCTGGGAATTTGAGGTCGGCTTGGATTTGGTCTACGAAGAAGGCTGGTCGAAAGGTTCGTCGACCTTGGGAGCCTGGAAGTCCCAAGATCGGGGGAGTTCGTACTCATGAAGGAGGCAAGTAATTTGGTCATTTGAGTAGGCGGTCAAGGGTTTTGGTTTGACGAGGTTCACCAGGTAGCATACGACCTCGACTTTTTTTACCCTTGACCACAGTAATTTGGTCTTTTTACTTATGATAAAGTGACATAGCTAAAGTAGGAGATGTTTGCTAAATATTGATTATGGAGTCGAGTCGGGGCAGAGAGACATTTCTAGAAGGTTCATATAAAGGTTGAAAATATGAGGTCAAAGAGAGGGCATGATCGGAAGTACCTAGTTGAGGTACAGTCTCTATTGAAAGGATCTCAACTTGGGAGCTGGTGCATATACTAAGAGGAGAATACAACAGAGTAAACCTTTTGTCAAAGGTCGCATTATCCTTGGTGGACTGCAAGTCCAGATCAGTGGCGTTACTAGAGATGAGCTCCAGTTCATTGGGTCATGTTATGGAGATCGAGGAACAAGAGGATTGAAGGTAGTCATTGGTTAAATTGCTACATAATTCTAAGTAAGGTAAGGACATCAGGGGTGATCCGATTGCGAGGAGAGCCCTAAGGTTTTTTTCCATAGGATGGGTTATTATACAATCAGTCCTGTGTAGGGCTACTTCTTTGTTGTGTCTCCGACCAGGATGGAAAGTATGTGTTGAGGGAGGTGCACGAGGCTTGCTATGCGCTTTGTATGTTTTTGTGTTTATTTTTGTGTATTTTATGTGTTGAATAGATTTGTTTTTGGGTTCATTTTCTTAGTTAAACGCTCCATTCTTAGTTTGTTTCATGTAATTTAACTTTCGTATTGTGTTTTTGTGCTTTGAAATACTTTTCCGTGTCTTTTAGTGATCTTTAGGTCCATTCATTTGAAAAATCAAAGAGGATAAATCGGGTCGAGTCCCGAGCGTAAGAGTTGTAACCGGGTGCTTACCATTTTTTTCCATATCCGAGCATTGTCACAGTTCTCCATCTGATTTCTAGTATATTGAGTATTGCCTGAGAAATTTCTATTGTTGCTCTACGAAACATGAGCTGCTATCGAGGACCCGTGCCCTGCGGCTGAGGACCTGTCTCTCTTCGCCCAGAACATGCATACCGCCACCCATGCATCACAAAGAGACACCATTGCCAAGGTCGTTCTTCTATTGCCGAGAGAGGTCGTCTAGGGTCGCCCGCACACGTCGCTGAGAGTCAGAGACTCATGGGTTGGCGAACCATCCTGTCGGCTTGTACTGTTGTACCGTCGCCGAGAGCTAAAGACTCGCGGGTTGGCAAACCAGCCCGCCATCTCGTGAGTGTCACCTATTGCCAAGAGCCACGTCCATCTTCGCCGAGAGCTCTGCATGTGTTGCCGAGAGCCATGCCTGCTGTCACCAATGGCCATTATTCGCCTGTCGCCGAGATGCATCACCCTTGCCCTAGCGAAGAAGCCTGGTGCGTCGTGAGTGTTCCACCAGCAGTCCGCAAACCACTGAGCAGTTTAGCTGCCTCGCGAGTGCGAATTTTTACTATTGTGTATGTGTGTCTAAGTGTGTGTTTTTTTCTTAGAGTATAAATACATTTATTCTTTTGCATTTTGGAATAACTTTTCTCATTCTAGTATTTTTATTTTTAATTATTTCTCTTAGATTTTTCATTTCTCTCTATTATTTTGAAATGTCACTTTTGGGAGCTCCAAGACTCGACTTTTGATGTTTCCATTATTATTCAAGTTTCAAGCTTTTCACTTCGATTTCCTTTGAGCATGTAATAGAAGGGTAACCAAAAGGTGTGCCAACCAAAATTACTACAAGTTTGAGGAGCTCGATCTGATGGTTGGACGACTTATTAAGATGACCCAGAGGTCGTGAAGTACGAATACCAGAATGACACAAAGGACTCCCGAAAGACCTTACCCTAGGACGACGTGGGATATCCCAAACGACCTAAACAACTAAGGAGCTCGACCTCGATGGCCGAGTTGATGAACAAACGACCCAAAGAATGAGCACGACCTAATGGATATTACCACTGAGGTTATAAAAATGAAACTTATGAGGATAAAAGATAATCTAATGGTGACTAGGACATGATTAGAATAAAGAGATGCACTAAGCAAATAAAATCAAACTCGGGCAGTTCGGCAGGCTATTTCGGACAGGTATGTCCCTATAAAAGGGGTTGAGGTACACCCAAACACAACTCTACATTCAACATACATTACATATAGCTCTTGATTACACAACATTTATCATCTTCTTCTCATGTACTAACTTGGGCGTCAGAGTGCTAACGCCGAGAGTCCCTCCCGGCCTTTTTGTAGGTAACTTCGAGAAGCTCAGGCAGATCGGAGTTAAGATTCATGTGGTTCAATCTTGACTCAGGGTTTCGGCACATCATTTGGCGCCGTCTGTGGGGAGCTTTTGAAAGAACAAAGAGCTCTCTCACCAGTTTTCGATCACCTAAGATGGCTGATAGAGAAGCAATTCAGAGGGACGTGTGGATAGGAGACCTCCGGTGGCCCAGTCCTAAGCCTGTGATATCCATGGTGGGATTGGCGTCGTTCAGTAGTCAATCACCACTGAGTGCGCGTCAGGAAGATGGGATTTAGGTCACTCCATCGGGGTAAAGATCCAGGTGTTGACCCAAGAGGGAACACATGGGCAACATATCCCAGGGCAGATCTAGGAGTTTCTTTATAGTATTATCATCCCTACTGATTGACTAGTACAGATTCATCTTTTTGGGCATAAAGCTGATGTTAGTTGGATTTGATATAAGTATGACTCTATATATACTTCTAGACTTTAGATGTGTTATCCAATATCAATGTCATTTGTATCCTTGTTATTTGTTTATCTACAGTGACAATTTTCAGATTTCAAGCATATATTCTTACATATTCAATGCGGTTAAGGTGTTGGTATTATTTCTGGATTCATTCATGTAAAGCAATGTTAGTATGCATGCTAAATATTTCTATGCTCTTTTCGCCACTATTAGGTATTTCAGATGGATCAAAACACGTGGACCACACCACTTTGACAATCTCAGGTCTGCACCTAACCGTGATCCCTTTTACAAAGATGAGTTTCCCAACTGATAAGAAGGAGGTTCAGCGATCCTCGACTGCCCTGGGAAATGCTACAATCCCATTACGGAACCATTCCGTCGGGATTTGTAATCATTAGATCATCATGTAACCGTCATGGATAGTTGATCTAACGGTTACCAATCCCGTCGGAATGGTTCCGTAACGGGACTGTAGACTCTCCCTGAAAAATATCATAAAAATGGAAAATAACATGAAACTTCAATGGAATAAGTTCTCGCTCTATATACAGTCTTCGTAATTATGAAATGGAGCAATCTGATAATGCATCAAGTGCAAATAAATGTTTTGAATCTCCAGAAGGGCCCAGACCCGGTTCAATTCCTTTCTATATTGGGGGAGAATCTTCAAACCTCATAATCCTAATGCATATAATATCATGAAAGAAGTCAAATAAGTGTTTTCAGCGAATCGTCTTCCTCCTTTCTATAGGGTATCCCCTTAAGAATTCTATGACAATAAGAATTCGAATAAGTTTAAGAAATCTATGCTTTCGTTCATTCTCTTCTATTAGGAGCTCTATATTAGTTTAATACTTAAATCATCATAGTTCCTGAATTAAGAAAAAGAAAAAATAATCTTCATCACCACACGAATGAAAATTTTTCCCAACATTTTATAAATAACATAAAAACGTAAGAATGAATCAATTTTATATAAGTTGCAAGCAACAAATTGACAAAGGTCGATAACTTTCTCTTTGACGAAAAAATGCCCGAATTGCCTATAAACGCTAGTCTCTTCTTCTTTTTCGTCTGGATTCTATAGTGAGCGCGCCTTCTCCAGCTGGGAGCCAGGAGGCTCGTCAGCGGTTGCCTTTGTCCGGTTCAGCCTCTCTCTGGCTTACGGTGGTCTTCGCCCTTGAGATGTTGGGGGCGACAGGAGTTGCAAACGGGATTTGCCGTGATCTGGTGCCGTTCTGTGGCGAAGCCTCGGCCTTCTGGTGTCTAGGGAGCGGCTGCGTCTCGGACTGTCCGGTGGTGTCGGGTGGTCAGGGCGGCGGATTCGCCGAATTCTTTGTCCCCTGAGCCTTTCTTTCCCTTAGTGCTCGGGATTATTGGCTGACCGACGCCTCCGATTTCAGCCAGTGGTGTTGGATGGGATTAGAGTACTGGTGTGGTGGGGAGGCGAGGCCGAGTTGTCCTCCGGCTAAGGGCAGTAGCTGATCGCCTAATTGCGGGTCGTGTTTCTAGGGTGCGAATCCAGTTAGGCGTTAGGCAGTTTCTGGAGTAGCTTCTTGGGGCGTGGTTCGGGTCGGGAGGCGGTCGAGTATGGGGCTACTGATAGCTTCTTGGTTTTCTGCCGGCTGTGGGAAGGGCTGGTTTGATTTTGTTTAGGTTGTTTGTTAGAGTTTGTGTGCTGTGTTGTTCTTGTTTATGTGTTTTCTTTTTTTTTCTCCCGTTGGGATTGTGTTTGGTGTATTTTCCTGTTGGGAGCTTTTGTTTATTCTTATGTTGGGAATGTTTTTAGTTGTGTTGTTGTAGGTTGACTCTAGGCTGCCATCGGCTTGTACGTGTAGTCCTCCCTACTAGGGTCAGCAATTCAGTTTATTCGGCCGTTGGCTGCTTTATTCGGCTGAGTAGATGTTCTCTAGTCTTGTTTTTATGTTGTGAATATATGTGATTCCTATCGTTTCGAAAAAAAAAAACAATTATATTCAGTTTGATGAGAATGAGTTTAACTCATTAATATTGATGAACGAGCTAAACTTTAGCTTGTTTATCGGTAATTTTGTTAACGAAACAAGTTTAACTCGACTCGATAAAGGCTCAAACTTGAGTTCAAGTATCAATAGCTTAAACTTGGCTCGTTACACCTCTACGTTTCATTTTCAAAACCAACGTGGATTTTTACTCTCATATCTCAGCCCAGAACTTTGTAAACTCAATATAGAGACCCTAAATTACTATTTAACATTAGCTTACATCTATTTTTTCTTCCCTACAAAGTTAGAAAACAGCCAATTAGCTTACATTGGCTGAGATTAGACATTAANNGAATTTTTCATATTGCCTACTCAAAATGTAGATTTTTTTTGTGTATTTATTAATATAAGATTAATATTTGTATTAAATGTATATTTGAAATATATATAACTGTGTAATTGTATTAAATAATTAATACTGAAATATATATCACTATGTAATTGTTTTGACAATTTAACATTAATATTTGTATTGAATAATTAACACAAGGTTAGTGGAAGATACAATAATTTGACCTTAAACAATAAAAAAAAAAAAATCCATAATGTCTTCAAGTCAAACGTGATGTGTTGGACTAAATAGAAATTTTGAATTGGAGCAATTTATTTTTCTACACGTTCCCATTTATAGTTTGTACACGTTACCAGTGTAGAATTTTGGTAAACAAATTGATTTGCATGGTGGATTTTCAATTAGTTGTATTTGTCAAACATGTAGTTTCAAATCAAACTATATGTTCATTTAGAGAACTTCTTTGACAAGTAGAAAAATAATTAATTATAATTATAATATTAAATACAAAATATGGTTCAAGGGCCTTCACTTCCTTAAACTATACTCCCTCCTTTTTAAATTAGATGTCGTTTTGACTTTTTTTATTCATCCATTTTGCTACGTATCTAGACATATTTTTATGTCTAGATACGTAGCAAAATGGATGAATCAAAAAAGTCAAAACGACATCTAATTTAAAAAGGAGGGAGTACTATGTTTTTAACTAGGTGCAGTTTCAATTTTGAACATAAACCTTGGTCAAACAGCCCGAACTCGAATGTCTGATTTTCAATTTTAATTAATGCTCATATGTACTATTTACCTCTAATACAGCTTGATTTGCAGAAGCAAGTGCAATTCTCAATGTGTATATTGCACTCGGGTCAACGATATCCACTTTGAACTTAATTTGCCAGGTAGTTGCTTCATACGTATTATCTTCTTTTCTTCTGAATTCCAATAAAAAGGGGAACAATAAATGGGAAATTCGTTAGGCATATGCATGAATAAAAACAAAAATAATGGTCCTCATGCAACATTAATTAACAATATTCCCAAATTGGTTATTCTTCGTATAGCTAAATATTTTCTCTCCAAAATATTGATATATATATATATATATATATATATATATATATATTGTGCTTATAAATAATAATAATAATAATAAATGGAAAATCAAAGAAAATATACTGATATTTTTCTTTTAAAAAAATAATATTAGGCATATTTGTACCTGGTAACATGGGCAAAGAACCAATCTGTGGCATAATTGCTCTCCCCAACAGTGTAAACTAAATCCTCATTTGGGTACAATTCAGCATATCTCTCCCATAATCCATACTGCCTGAACCTAATCTTTCATAGTCTAATTAGATTTAATAATATTCGAGTTAATTTCCAAGTCGTTGGAGTGAATTTAAATTGTATGTATGAAACATCGTTTGAAATCATCTTTTCCCAAGTCCTATACTCAAAGCACAATTCTTTAGCCCGACACAATTTTTCTATTATTATTGGCCATTGTATTGCATTTCGAGTTTTAAAAATTTCGTTTGTGAAATATTAATTATTATTATTATTATTATTTTCTCAAATTCTATTTAAACTTCATTGTTAAGATTAAGACATGGAAAAAATAAATATTTAAAAAAAATGATAAATGAAGTTGTCTTTTCGACAGTTACTTATAAAAATTTATTTATGAACACTTAGATACCTTTTCAAAACTTATCTATTAAAATAATTGTCTCACAAATAAGTAAATTGTCAATGGTTTATAACCGAATTGGAGAGATAATTAATAACTTTTGAATAAAATAATTTTTCCTAGATTATCTAAATAAATTATCTCCTTAGAAAAAGACATGATTAAATATCAAAACTTGCAAAATCCCTTAAATTTTCATGTAAATAAACCTAAAAGAAAAAGTAAAAGTGGAAGACCTGTCAGGATGATTGACATAAAGTTTGTTTATATACTTAGGATTGGGATCTGGAACAAAATATTCCTGGGCCGTACGATCAGGTATCCCTATCTCCCATAGTGTGGGCCCATCCCTCGGGGCATCGTACACTAGCTCCCCCACATCGATGTTGTCCCCTAATCATCATTAATACATCAATTAGCGCAGCATTAACATTGGATTAATTCATAGGATTTTTTTGATTAGTGGTGCAAATTGTTAAAACCTGGGTTTATGGTAATGGATACATCGTGTCTGAAGTCCCCGATAAATCCAGGGACCCATGCAAATAGATTATAGTCCCCACTTATTATGTTCTTAATGGAAAAGTACCCATTTTCATCTGTTGTCGTCCAGAATTGATATCCCTGAAAAAATTGTACAGTGATATATAAAAAAAGATGTGAAACATTTTATGCCATTCAGTTCGGGGGATTCAATTGTTTACTATGGGTAGAATGAAGCTTTAGAGCACGAATGTATAAAAAAAATTTTACTCAAAATTTTATTCAACTCAAAAATTTAACTCAACTTTAATATTTTTAATATTATCAATATAATTAAATGATATCATTCAATTATTCTTACACATCACATCTATTTTAATTTATTTGTCCCATTTTTGTTACGTTTTTCCTTCTTATTTTTCATTTCTTTTTCCCCCGTTTTAGGTCTTTTCGTTAGTTTTTATTCACTTTTATAGTTTATTGCGCGTCTTGTTTCGTTTTAGTTTTCTATGTGTTTCTTGGGTATTTTTCCGATTTTATTGTCTTTGGTGTGCATGATGGAAGGCTCAGGAGGATTTATTTTTCACGATAATGGGACCGGGAGAACTTAGCTGAGTAGAGCTTTTCGTTGGCAATACACACGAGAAAACGGAATCGAATTCGGGTTCCAAACGAGCTCGAACGAACACAAAATGCAAGGTGATACAACTAGGCCCGAGCATCCCCAGGCCCAGGCTGCCGCGCTAGCCGCCGCGCCGCGATGAACGTCACGGGTGGACAGAAGCTCCCAGCCATCCACCTGCCACGCCGCGAGGTCTCCATCGCCGCGGCACTCTCCCGTCTTCGCGCCGCGCCACAATCGCGGAGCCCTTCACGCCTGGACAGACACCGTGCTTTTCCAGACCGCCACGCCGCTAGGACCATCACGCTGCGGAGCTACCACCCATCACGCCTCGGAGCTACCACCCGTCATGCCGCGCCTATCCTTTCGCGCTGCTGCGCCAGTCCTCATCACGCCGCGGCAACATCACCACGCCGCGACACACTCGCTTCTCGCGCCGCGTCCCATTCTCTAGCGCTGTGGCTCACGGTGTATATAAATATGGGATCGAATTGCGACAAAAAGATATCTCTCAGTCCAGAGACAAACAAAAACCCTACCCTTGTTCTTTCACTCATTTTTCATTCTCTTTTCATATTTTTGAACGTAGAACAAGGATTTGATCTTGGATTTTGCTATTGCTTTTGGATTCAAGCTTGTTTATCGGATTCGATGTTGGGATTTATCAATCGTAAGATTTCGTTTTGACTTAATCGTTAAATATGAATTCTTGGGTTGTGATTTTTTGTGTTGATTATTTGATTATGAATAGCTAAATTCATATGCTAGGGATAGGGGATTGATGTTTTGATATCGTTTGTGATTGTCGGGCTCAGGATTGTTCAATTTCATACGAGTTGATATTTTTCTAGGGTTTTTCAATTGTCGGGCTCGAGTATTTAGAATTGTTGAAGGGTGACACTTCAATCACCAATTGTTTGCAATTGAGTTCGATATATTCTTGCTTGATGTTGGTTATTTTAAACGGACTAGTTGATTAAACACCTTCTAGTCTACTTTAATAGACTCTTAGAACCGAAAGGGGAGGAGTCGGTTGAATTAGGCTCGTATGAACTAGGTTTGTTTGTAACTGTATTGCCTGGGAGTTAAATGAATTGTTAATCTTCCGTTCTAGTTTGTTGTCTTGTTACGAAAAGTTATTGAGAATGAGTGCTTGAACGTGTCGATTAGTCAAATCACTTAACCGAACAATCTCTTGCTTAACAATTACATTTTCGAACCAAAACGGATTTCCCCGACTCCCTAGCTCCTTAAATCCTACTTGTTCTTCGTTGTTGCTTGCTATTTCTATTTTCTTTATTTGAAGTTTTTTTCTTCGTAGTTAATAATCAATCCAAATCATCGGAATTAGAATGTTTAGGAATTTTTATCTTCTTTTGTGAGGTTGAATAAACGTGCATAATAATCCGGCTAACCTTCCTCGAGAGACACGACCCGGTGTTCGAATCTTTTGATTCTACTCCGGAAAAATATTTACAACAAATTGGCGCCGTTTCCGGGGAAGGTTTAGGAATTATCTTGTGCGCTTATTCTATTTGTTTCTGTGTTTCTTTTGTTTCTTTTTATTTGTTTAGGAGTTAGTTCTTCCTTTGTTCTGTTTTAATCTTATTTTCTTTCATCTCTCATTGGTGCTCGTAACCCGTTGTTTGTTTGAGTGTATGCGTACCAGGAGTGGACGTAAACTCTCTCCAATCAACAAACCCTTCAACGAGAGCCTGAGAGAGCTGCTAGACGAGCTTACTCTCAAATCATACGAAGAAGGCGAGCATCCACCAGAATCATCCGAGGGGAGTAACTCAGACATGGCTAAACAACAAGCCCCTCGCAACATCCTTCGAAACCTGGCCCAACCCATGATCAGGCCAATCACTTCTTGTATCCGGCTGGAGCAAGACTCCCCAAACTATGAGCTAAAGATGGTCCACTACAATCAGCTCCCATCATTCCACGGGCTCCCGAACGAAGACCCACTCCACTTTCTTCGGGAGTTTTACAACGTCCTCCAGACGTTCCCTTTGCATGGGCTAACCGAAGACCAGCTCAAAATGCGGTGTTTCCCAGAAACTCTAAAGGACCGGGCCAAGGCTTGGTTCATGACCCTCGCCCCGGATTCTCTAACAACTTGGGCCGAAGTCTACGCTAAATTCGTTGGGAAGTACTATTCCCATCAGAAGACCCAAGATATCCAGTCTCAGATAGTTTCCTTCGCTCATCTACCAAACGAGCCCCTTCACGAGGCTTGGGAACGTTTCAAGGACCTACAGAGGCAGTGCCCCCACCATAACCTCTCTCCAGGGCTATTAACGAATTGTTTCTACGACTCCCTCCACCAGAACTTGCAGTACATGGTGGATACTGCAGCTGGAGGAGACATTGGAGGCAAAACGGCGGAGGAGATGATTGTGATTTATGAAACGATGAGTGCGAACTCGTCGCAAAAGAGCATCAGAGGAAAGAGGGCGACAGTGCATGAGATAGGAACGAGCAACAATGCCATGGCCCAACAGCTTGCCGAGCTCACGGAGCAGATGAGGGTACTGAATGCTAGAAGTTCCTCACCAATTCAGACTATGGCTGTAAATGCTTGCGGCGCATGTGGAGTTCAGGGACACAGTTCTGAGGTGTGCCCTATGGCTCTCGAGCCAAATTATGGAGGGCAAGGAGCTGAGGTGAATGCTGTACAAGGATATCAGAACCGGCCCGGAAATGACCCTTACACGAACACGTATAACCCCGGGTGGAGAAACCACCCAAGCTTCTCATGGTCTAACAACAACTCCCAGCAGCCGCCTCAACCTAACTTTGCCCCCCATCAGCAACAACCCAGGGGACAAATGTTAAGGTTGCCAGCACCAGAAGCCGGACCAAGCCCGCCAAACTCAGACGAAAAACTGGATAAAATTCTTCAGTACATGGCCAATGGTGAGCAGCGGAGTGCGAACAGTGAGGCTTCCATTAAACGTTTGGAAGCACAGCTAGGCCAGTTGGCCACCCGGGTGGGGAACATCGAGGTGGAGCTGAAGAAAGACAGATTGTCGAGCCAGCCAGAGCATGCCAATGCGGTAACCGTGATTATGCCTGAGAAAGTGAAAGAGGAAAAAGTGGGCCCGAAAGTGCTCACCCAAATGGAAGAAATCCCAGTGACACCACCATCAGAGCCTACTTTACACAGATCTCCGAACCCCTACAGACCGAAGATTCTCTTCCCGAGCTGACTCTTGGAGGAGAAGGACCGAACGATGATTCGAGACCTTCATGCGATGTTGGCTAAGGCCAATGTCAATTTATCCCTCCCGACGTGATGAAGAAGATACCGGCTTATGCGAAGTTTTTCAAGGAATTGGCGGCGAACAAACAGAGGCTCGAAAGTAGCGATGAGGTGCTTATGTGTGAAGCGGCGAGTGTCTTCCAACATGACTTGCCGAAGAAAGAAAAGAATCCTGGAGGCTTTGTGATCACTATGGCCTTCGGGAATGGGGAAGAGACATCGGGATTGCTTGATCTAGGAGCGGGCATAAACCTCATGCCACTTACAGTTTATCACAGACTTGGGCTCGGGGAGTTGAAGTCCACCAAGATGCGCTTACAGCTCGCAGATCGTTCATTCTGACACCCCGTAGGGATTGTGAAGGATGTGCTTGTCCGAGTGGGGAGGTTGATAGTCCCCGTGGACTTCGTTCTGCTTGATGTGGGGAGCATGCAAGAAACTGGTAAGGAGCACACCATCCTCCTCGGACGACCCTTCATGGCGACCACTAGCACAGTCATCGATGTGAGGAAGGGGAGGGCGAGCATGACAGTTTTGGGCGAGTCCATTGCCATTTCTGTTAGAGAGACCCGGCCTGAGCCATAGGCGAATTTGGTGGAGGAGTGTGCATACCTCAGGGCGATTGAACAGCTAGCTGAGAAAGCGTGCATGCGAGAGCACGCTAAGATGTCATTGCAGGACCGAGCTAAGATGTCCAGAGAGTTGCCCCGATCCCAATGGGGCGAGAGATTTGAGTTGACAGAGGCCCGCCGCTGTTTCGGGCCCGACTACCTCCACCCTCCACCTGCACCACCGGATTCACAGTGACTAGTCTAGTCACTGTGCCCTGTACGTTTGTACTTTTCCTTTCTCTTTATTTCCGTTTTCGGTTAGTTTTTCTGTCTTTTGTGTTGGTTGATTATATGGGTAAACTTGCCTTGCACTGATGATCGACAATGGGGACATTGTTCGGTTTTACGTGTGGGGGAGTTTACATGATTATGTGTCTTATGTGGTTGACCAGGTCTAGTTCTTTTAG